ATGCAACCAAATTTCCAATCCTTTAACTGATTTTGTTTCCCCTTTTAGGCATCTATGCCCAGGTATAACGTGCTTAGATTGTTGTCAGACTTTTTTCAAGCATTATCTATTAAATTTCCCATTTGAAGGATGAGAATTTTGCTGTTTTTGACTTCTCCACTGTCAGAGCACAGATCTAAGTGCTTCCTCCTCATCCAGCTTTCACAGGGAGAGTAGTTCTCCTTTGTCCCTATCTTGCCCCAGTTTCGGGAGGCACCTGGCACCACCTCCTTCTGAGCTGGTAGCCTGCAGTGCAAATCAGATTGCTCCTCTGTCCCCAGACTGCCAGCTTTCTCCAATCGGCAACTGAGTCAATTATCATTTAGTCAATTATCACTTGTTCAGCTGTTTTTCAGGTTCCAAAGTTTTGTTGATCCCATTCTGTCCTTATGGATTTGTGCCTTTAAAAAAACCCTTACTGTCATTTTAATGAGGCTTTTGGAGGGAGTGGAAATTAAATGTATATGTTAATTTTCACGACATATGCCGCTAATTTCTTCTTATTCTCTTCCAAAGAAAAATTTATTTTCCATTTAAAATCACCTGATAAAAATACCCAACTCATTGTAGCACAGTAGTTTGGGTTTCCTTCTGGACCATCTTTGACTCCGTTATGAAGCAGATCAATTCAGTGATGAGAAAAAAGTTGTAATTCTAAAAGAGGCTATTGTTTGGGCCGTTTAAAGAGAGATATTAAAAAGTGAAAAATATTTATCTTCTGACAGAATTTGAGAAATTTTCTATGATAACACGTTTTCATAAAAATGGATGTTTTCAATGCTTCCTCCTCTCCTGCTTCCTCTTCAGGTCTCTGGCATGCGTTCAGCACCACTCAACCACCATGGTGAGAAGGTGTGGAGTTGTGTATCTGGCCTCCTTAATTTACACAGGCTCATTCTTGGATAGCCCTGTCATTCACAGCTTTCTTAGACAGAAGGCAGGAGGCTAGGGTGTGGCTAAGAGTAACTGGAAAGGAGGCGTAACCAGTTAATTACAGGATCCTGGGGCACGGTGGTGTGGAACACTAGTTGGGGAAGTGGGCGTGACCTGTTAATTACAAAAGCCCTGGACAGGTACAGGAACAGTTCCCAAATCCCTGAACATGGACTTCTCCTGGGAACTCCAGCAGGCTTTTGATAGGCTTAGACCTGACATCACAGTGAGGAGTGGATGATTCAAAGACGGACGGAGGACAATGAACTATTTGGTACTGTGTCTCTGTTCGTGGTAGTCCATCCTCACACTGACGAGTGTACTCCTTTCCCTGCTTTTTCTTGGCCCCCCACTCTGCAAAGCAAGTTCTTTTCCTACTTTTAATAAATGTAAAACCTTGCTACCATTTATGCTTATCTTGACCAATTCTTTGATTAGAAAGCAAAACAAAACAAAACTAGCACTCCCAAACCCTGTAACAACATGGCAGCCCAAACTCTAACCCACATCACCTCTACATGATCCAATCTTTAATCAGTCCCTTTGACTAGCACCGCTGATCTCTGACTCTGAATAAACGTCCCTATACTTGCCCCCATCTTGAATCTCCCTTCACCTCCTCACTACAAAGCTGGTGCTCTCCTAAGCACTACTCAGTCCCTTGTCCACTTCTCCAGTGGAAACATTCCTCCGCTCTCTCAGAATTTCCCTCAATGTCACAGCTCTCTTACTGTCTCAGAAGAGGGGTCCTTTCCCTTTCCTACATCGCCTGCTTTAATTGTCCTCACCAAGTTGTTCCCACTGCTCCAGGGGCCTTTCTGCAGGCCGCTAGCACAGGCTGGAGGAAGGTCTTCACTTGTTAGCGTGCCTCTCTTAACCCCAATCTTCTCTCTTTTAACAGCAACATTCCCATTTCCCTCCCTTAAAAATTCAGTAAAACAGTCATGAGACTGAACCGGTCCAAACTGGGTGTACTTTTTGACATGTGATTGGAGATGGATTTCTAGCTTATTTCCATTAATTGCTTAAATTGTTTTTAGCTAATACAATTATAAATTTGTCTTACAAGTTAGAAATACTTCTAAAATAATCCTTTTGCAGCACATTGGGGACCTATATCTTCCTTTGCAAAATTAAAATTTTGTAAGCAGAATAACAATCACTTATCAAAAGTAAAATTTTATGCAAATGTCTTTTGAGCACAATATAAATTAGCAACTCTTCCTATGACTGATAATTATATAGCCTTATAATAACTGTAAATATAAGAAACAAAAGACCAAAGGAGCCTAAAATAAGTACTTGAGATAACAGAAGAGTTGTGCAGGTCTTACTAGAAACTGAAACCAAAAGATAACCCTGACATGCTTCTAAATGTGTTTAAGCAGAGGGGACCTAGAACCATGACATAGTAGTCATTTGCTACTCCCCAAATTCCCTAACAGACTGACTTTTCACCTTTTTAAGTACAAGCAAGCACATCCCCCTTACCAAAATCAAATGGAAAAACAACATAAAGCCAAGTAAAGAGAAACTGTCAAATTGCATAAAGCAATGAACTTGCAAAGAATCAACGATAACTCAAATTGTTAATAAACAGGTCTTTTTTCTGGTAAAGCTGTTTTTTGAATTCCAAAAGTCCATAATTCCTATACATATATTTAACAGAATTAAACAATAAGAATCAAATCACATTTAGTTAATATTCAAGCCACTACTCTGCACAGAATGCTAGAACAGATGTCATGGCTAAGACACAGACAATAACTTAATATACAATCTTGGTGCCATGGGAAGTTAGTGTCCTTCTCAGAAGATGGAATACATTAATAAAACACACAATAACTGAAGAGGTTCCATCAAATGCAGCAAATAAATCATTTGAAGGGTTGAACAGAATGGTTAGGAGCAAATCCTGGAATCCGAAAGGTGTCCCGGAAGACTGAGACAATTTAAAAAGGGAGAAAAGAATTACAGATTAGCAAGAGGATGGAGAAGGAAGTCTCACCAGAGATGGCTTTACAAAAATCTGATGAAGTAGGAACACATAAGCAATAGGAAAGAAAGGCAGAAGGCACCCCAAAGAGGAAGGGAAATGTCCTCTGATACTTCTTTCCTTCCTCATTGCTCCTACAAGCACCATCCTCAACTACTGCCAATGACCTCTCTACCATTAATCAGGTTCTGGCTTTTAACATTCTCTGCACAAAGGTACCATATTTTGTCTTATAGTTCAGTGCCCTTGTTCTGCTCAGAACTCAGGGTTCTCCTCACTGCCTGAGAAAGTGCACTGAGGCTCCTGAGTAATATAGTAAGTTCTCAATATGCTGACTGCACTTCTGTATGTCCTGTTTGAGTTGAAGGTTCTTTAAGGCAAAATCCAGACATTATTTTTCTTATTTTGGTATGCAAGAGCCACTACACACTTTATCCAAATAAAATTCAAAACATATCTACTTAATGAATAAACAGATTGTGTAATTAATAAACTTTATCTAATATTGGCAAATGGTAGGCCAGTAGGTTGACAATCTCACATGGAAAGTTAAGAACTTAGATTTGATACCAGATATCCTGATAAGCCACTGGGTGATTCTGTATAAGGTAGTGACATGATAAAACATGATAAAAACATGTTTTAACTATGAACTGCAGGAAAAAATCAGCTTGGCAAGGCCTAGAAGTAGGAAGATCATTTTGCTAACAGGGTTTTTGTTTTTTTTTTTTGGCACGAGGGATCGAACTCAATACCTTGCGCTTGTGAGGCAGGCGGTGGCACCACTGAGCTAAATCCCAGGCCCTAGCTAACAGTATTTTGCTGATACAATGAAAAAGATGATGAGGATTTTATTCATTAGTCAGTCACTAATATGAACATTCTTTTGATAAATATGAAAAAGAAAATAGTCACATATATCTTTGTCTTCACTCTGTCTTAAGCTAGTTCATTTCTGAAATAAGACGTGATTTTAGATAGGAATATAGTTTTTTTATTATAACTGCAACCTAAAAACCCTGAAAACAAGGACAGATATCATTATTTAAGACTTAAAAACACTTTCCATATCAGAGTCTTCCAAACTGATACTCAAACTCGAACTGAAATCACTCCATTTTATGTATTTTATTACAATGTAGGATATTTGATTTTTAAATTCTACTTCTGCTAAAATCAACTACAGCTGGACCTCAATTTATGATGGCTCAACTTGTGAAGTTCCAACTTAATAATGGTGCAAGAAATGGTCTGCATTCAGTAGAATCCACAGTTTGCCTGTTGAAATCAGATCTTTTCTCAGGCTCATGAGCTCTGAACTCTCACAGGGCTGGGGAGCAGCAGTGAGCCGAAGCTCCCAGTCAGCTGCGTGACCTCCAGGGTCAACAACCCACACTCTACAGGGCACTGTGGTGCTAAACTATGGTGTCAGTGGGTTAGGTTAGGTGGGTTTAAATACATTTTGACTTATGACATATATTTTTTTGACTTGTTATTTTCAACTTGCTGTAAGTTGAGATATAACCCTATTGTGAGTCAAGGAACATTTGGTTGTTTACATAAGCTGAATATTATAATAAGGTACAACATCTGTATGTTAAATTAGTGATTTAACAGCACTCAAAAATGCCAGTGTGTTAAAGCATTATAACTGATTCCCACTGTCCTTTCTAAGAAACCATTCCTTCTCTGCTGAAGCCTCACTATCCTACTGAATACTGGAAAGGCACGGCTGACTGGCAAGAGGTCTGCAGCACAGGCAACGCTGAGGTTCTCAGTTCTGGCTGCGTGTTAGAAACACTACTTCAGGATTTTAACACCTAGTAATTCCCAGACGACACCCCAAACCAATGCTGATGTACTCTGAAAGCTCCCTCCAGGTGAGTCTGTTATCCCCACTGCATTAGTATTTTCTTTAGTCATGGAAAAATAATCCTGACTTTTTTTGACAGAGTATGAAAAAGACGACAAGAGTTTAGGGGGAAAATGATGGTATCAATACTTATTTTAAAGAAAAGCAACTTTCACTTACCTGCCTTCTGACAATGCACGATCTTTTCATACACAGCATCTGCATTTTCAATCAATGCCTTGAGGGATTGAATCATCTGCAAGGGAACAGCCAGGCATGAGATCACACCTGCCAGCCAGACACACTCCCCACTCACGCACCAGCTCTTCTAAACAAGCTGACATGAAGATGCAAAGCACTTTTTAAAATGTAATTTCCCATGACTCCAATTTGTGTAGGTGAAAAATGGTAAAACCATGCCTTCCCACACAATGGCTTAAGCAAGACTGAGCAGTATTATGTTCTAGATGTGACCAGGCCAGTACAACACTGAACTTGAACCCTAAGACAACACTGCACTGAGTTTGAGTCACTGTGAAAAGTTATAAATAAGTATATGTGCTCCTCTGATCTGAGATTTAAATCACATATTTGTTCATCATTTTAACATATTCAGGATGAATATGTTAGATCCGATACTTTTACCCATTTCAGCCCGAATATCTTCATCTGAAAATTAGCTCAAAACATACAGTACATATTAAAATGCAGCATTTATATAATGCCGTTCATCATGAAGGATAATGACAATACCTGGTATTTTTAATGTTTTCATCAATGGTTTTAAAAATATTTAACTTTTTCTTACTCCAATTTGTGAGGGCTTGCTTCAACTGACTGAGTTCAAAGAAAAAAAAAAGGTCAGGGCACTGTGAACCAATAATTCACTCACGAAAGAGCCAGGAAAGACCTGCCTAAAGTAATCTTGTTGGCTCTAAAATCTCTATGAAAATGAAATAGCCAGATTCAACTCTAATGGTTGCTGTCCTAGTGTTAATTCTAATATTTTGTATTTAAATGTCCAAACATTTTGCATTATAATGTTAATCATATATTTTACATGGCTATTCTATTTTGAATAAAAAATACCTACCCGTCATAGTATTTGCTTTATAGTCACTAAGTATAGGTAGTTTGGATTATTTGTACAACTCAAGGAACACTTTTTTGCATGTGGTACTGGGGAATGAACTCAGCACCTACGCATCCCCAGCCCTTTTTATTATTCAGGGTCTCACTAAGCTGCCCAGGTTGGGCTGGAACTTGCAATCTTCCGGCCTCAGCCTCCCAGAATGCCACGGATTACAGATGGATACCACCAAGCCTGGCAGAATGTATTTTTATTTATAAAAATATTACAGCTATTTAAAATATAACTCAATATGCCAGTTAGGAAGTATTCTAGGCCCAACAGTGAAAGAGCATTTAGCAACTACTTCTGTTGAAAAAAACATAGTAAATGTCAAAAGTTTAATAAATCTCTATTTGTGGAGAACCCTGTGTAGAAACTGAGATATAGGCCCTATCTTTAAGAAATCCACAGCCTAGGAGTAGAGCTTGCACTTTGGAATTATTTTCAATTTATTTTTTTCAAGATCTGAGTCATTCCTATAAATAAAAATATTCCATTTTACAGCTTGACATGTTAAACAGGCAGCGATAAAAATGAATAGTTAAGAGCTCTATTATGCTGATATAAAGTCATTTGCACCATTACAAATTTGCATACTAAAAAGGTTCATACCATCATCAGTAACCTTTTTCATCTTTGATGTCAAGCCAAATCAGAGATACAAAAAAAGCAAGGACTTCATCAAGCAAGGTTGGTAGCTGTCCCAGAATCAAAGAACTGGTCAATCATTCCTCCATCATTTAAACAGGGGAAAGAAAAAGTACATATATAAGCAATAAAATGAACCTGGTCATGAAGCAAAAAAGCAGAACAGGAGCACACATCTGGCAGGAGGGTGGTTACTGCACTCATCCTGGGGTTGGGGGTGCAAAGAGGTGGCAACAGAAAGAGCACAGGCTTTTATGAGTTCTAATCCTGGTTATACTGATAATAAGCTTGGTTATGTAGGATAATATCTAAGCTCACACAGCCATACTATCCTACTTACCATGTGAGCTTATTAAAGATACTGCACCTTGTCATACGAGAATTAAATGAAAGGACACATGTGGAGTGCCTGGCTCAAGGAAGACACTTGCAAATAGTGGATGTCATGGTTGACTCCCCATTTACCCAGAAGGCCTGGCAAAGCATTTTCTGGTGGCCCAAAATTAGCTGAATGAGTGTGCCTTCCTCTCGTATGTTCACTGGCAACGTTTCCAACCCTCATTACTAATTTTAGTTTTACTTGGAAAGCCTGCTGTGATGAAGCTCAGAGAAACAACAAATAACAGTACTATTCACAGAAGTATCTTTCACGGGAAAGAATCACCAAAGGTTAAATAATTTATGTACCTCACAGCTGTAAAATATATGCAAAGCTGAAGAAATGTGTATCTCAGGGATGTGGGCAGGGAAGCGTGTCTGCTCCTTCTGCTCTGTAATACGTGGAGGATCACTTGTTCTTGGGACAATCATTATACAGGACAGCGCTCTGTGTGGGACTCTGAGCTAAGTGCTGAGGAGGAATAAAACTGTCAATGACTCGAGGACAATGGGAGGAAAGAAAACAGATTTTAAAAAATAACTATAAAAAATGTGGCATTGCTATTGTAGCTAGTGGACTACCGGGTGTGATAAAGTTAAGTGTTCTCCAGCCACAGCACTTTTGTGGGATACTTAATGGTGAGGTGCTCATGGTACAATGGATCCATATTGATGGCAAAGAAGGGCCCATCTGTGGCTTAGATTTCAAAATGGACATTTCTCTTCTGATATGAGAGTAAATATAATACCCACCTCCTTCTCATGGACAATGTATAAAATATGAAGGTGGCTAATTACATCAGTGTGGAGATCACAGAGTAAGAAAACATTCTTCTTAGATTTGGAAGTAAACAGCAGCAGCCATTTACAGATGGTATTAGAGGGGATTCCAGAGGGAACCAACCCAAGAGAGAGAAGGGAGGCCCACAATTACAATCAGCAACACTCAGACAAGGCAGGAGGAAAATGTTTCCAGACATTAGTAGAGATGATTCATTTTGTCACACCTGTTATTAAATATCTGTGCCATTGCCTTTGGAAATGCCAACTTACATCTTTTCATAGTTTTAGGGTACCTATTTATAATTACAGCACATATTTGTAATTAAACTAATTCAGTAAACAATTTTCAGCTCTTGTCCACAGCATGAGCTCCCTCACCTTTAGTTCACGCAACATTTGCAAATCTCCCCTGAGTAGAAAGCCGTAAGGTGCTCTGGAGGGAACATGGGTGTGGACTCCTGCAGCAGGTGGAAGGCTGGGTGGGCAAAGGGCCTTCCTGAGAGTCTTCTTTCACTTCAGTGACAATTATGATTGAATGCAGGGCACAGTGCACTGAGGATACAGCAGGAGCAGCAAGGGGATGGCTGACCTAGTAGGGAGCCGCATTTACTTTATAATGAGCTGCAGTTATAAATAGTACAAGTGTTGGTTGAATGAATCAAGATGAAAGTAATTCAACACCTCCTCCACATGAACATTGCTTTCCATTTCATTTAATGTTCGCATTATATATGTGAGGTGGGTGTTAAAGAGGTTAGTTTTACAGATGTGAATTCAGAAGACCTGAGGAAAATCACTTTTTCAAGGTCATCTGCTATGATAGGACTATAATCAATAAATAATCAAAGTGGTATTCCATTTGAGCTCAAAGCCTCTGCTTTTTCCATAACATTCTGATTGGTTCTGACACAAGGAACAACTGCACAAGAGGAAAAGGTATTTGAACTAGGACAAACAAAAAGCAGAGGGAATTTTTTTTTTTTAATTTTGAAAGGTACTTTGTCTCAACTATTGGCACCGGTCCAAAGTCATTTTTCCTTTTCTTTTTCTCTTAAATTTATTCATTTTGTGGTACTGGAATTGCACCCAGTACCTTGTGCGTGCTGGGCAAATGCTCTACCACTGAGCTGCATCCCTGATCTCACTTTTTTTCAAATAATATTTCTATATAGCACTTCGGGAACATACTTGTTTTAAAAAACAGCAACACTAACCAAATTAATTAGTTGGCTCCACTTAACAATTCATTATTATAAAAACTAATTTATGAAATGATCTCAGATCTATTTGTCTAATGTCAAGAGAAGAGCCAAAGGAATAAACTTCTTTAGGTTATTTTGTCTCCTCTGTGTATGTTACATTAATATGTCAAAAGAATGTAAGGCTAAGTACAGTGGCTGATTTTATAAGCATTATTTGCATAATGCAGATGAGTTAACTCAATTCCCTTTAGGTACAGAAGTGTAAATCTTGGCATAGCAATCAGACACACAGCTGTCAGTGTGAGTAAAACATGGACACGTGTACAGTTTATTCAGTTGTCGCTAATGAATTTTATATTAATCATCTATTAACCAGTGCCTCTTAAATTTCTAGAAAAAAGTATATTTTTTTGAAAATCCATATATTTAACATAGCCCAGAAACTCATTTCATAAATCTGGTCAGCTCTTAACAGGTTTTAACATAGGACTCAAACAACTAAGCAAAGTAATTTTAAATTTTATTTTATTAAGCTGGTAAGAAAAACAGAAAAGCTTTCATAAGAGTGCTACATTTTGAAAGTAACTCCCCATGGTGGTGTATGGAAAACTACTCTGTTTATGAATAGAACTGTGAGAAAAACTATTAGTATATTATATATTAAGAGATTTCCATAGACTTCTCCTTTGTTTTGTTTTGAAACTTATCATCAACTAGGACAATTATGTTTTCAGAATAAGCAAATGTGTGGTTTTATATAAGGATCTTATGCCTGATTTTAGATGATTCTTTTAATCTCAGGAACACAGATTTTGTTAATAATTACAAAAGTACTTTGCCAATAATTTTAGTCCTTGGGTAAAAAAAGTTTTAGTAGTACAGTGGATCCTTGAGTTACAACTGGCCTGACATACGAACAATTTGGGTCATGATCAGAATTTTAGTTTTAATTTATGAACAAAGTCTTGAGTTACAGCCCAAATGCCAGCTGCTTGTGCTTCCAGATGGTCTCAGATACAGATTTAACCCCTTAAAGAGTTCTGCAGGAATGTTACAACATCCTTTCCGGTGAGAAGTCCTGGGCCAACGTCTAAGGACACTGAGATCTGCCCT